GAGATTCTGAATCAGTAGGTCTGGATTAGGGCTTGAAGATCTGTCTTTCTAAAAATACTTACCAGATGACTCTGATACAAAATCATGTTTGGGAATCAATTACATAGTCCTGGCAAGTGACTTTGAAAAAAAAAAAAATCCTAAAATATCCACTGGAAACACTTAAGAATTGCATCAGATACAAAGGAAAAAAGTGTGGTTAAGAAATAGTGACCATACCTGTGATTATTTCCATGATTCAATATAACAAGTTATTAACGTGTTATAAATAAGGGAATAAATAAATGTATTTAGAAATAAGAGTTGTACCATCTTTTCGTAACATTTTCTTAGTGAAAATGTTGAATTTTAATAATTAATATTAATTGCAACAGTTGTATTTTAGACTTTTCCAAACTTCGTAGTACCATTGTGAGTGGAAAAGATTGAACCCAAAACCCTTGAAGTTTTCAGGGAAATAGTGTGAAGTGGCCAAAGAAGGCACGGCAATTTACAGTATGCAAATTTTTCTTTTGATCCCATAATTGCCGCATGTTTATTTTATCCCTTTCATTGTCTTTGATTAAAAGAGTTAATCTAGGAAGATGTCTGTCTGTGATTTGTCTGAACACTGCCTGCCTAGTTCATCACATGTGCTTTTGATAATTATCTTGATAGTACTGTATACTCCACGTGGCTCTGCCACAACACATCCAAGTTGCATTCTCCTGTATGTTTGTATTTTAAAGAAATAGAGCAAGGAATTTATTACTTAGTGATCACTTGAAAATGTCAGAATATCCTGACATGTTACCTGATAAAAAGGAGCTTGACTATTTAGAATCACAGATTGGTGAATTGGTGAACTTTGAAATAACTTTGATTCTTCAGAAAAAGAAATTAAAACCTGGAAAGGTAAAATGACTTAACCAAGTTCACAAGGCTGACCAACACCCTTTAGTACTCAGTAATCTTTCCATATGTACGTATTTGAGCAGTGTAGACTATGCTCTCTTTGTATATGTGTCTTAAACAACACTACATTTCCGAAAATATAATTTTCATCATGTGTATGTTTTGTGAACATTTCCTGTAGTTGTTTCCTGTCAAGTTGACTAACATTCATTGGTGGATTTCAGATTGCATGAAAACTTATAAAATTATTATCAACTAGGGGGCTTGAAAAGTCATACGGTACTTTTCTATTCATGACCTTTAATAAGAACACAGGCTCTGGAGTCTGACAACCATGTGTGTGTTACATTCAAACCCTTAGTAATCCTGGAGAATCTGAATTTAACGTGTTAGTTTCATACTTTGTAAAGTTGTTCTTATAACAATAACCTACTCCATTGTTTTTTGTTGTTGATGATGATGTTGCTTAAAACAAAAAAAGTGATCCATATAAAGCATTTAACACAGTGTCAGAACATATTGATTGCTGTGTAAATGTTAACTGTTATAATATAGTAAAACCTTGGTTTGTAACTTGTTCTGTGAATGTTCTGTAAGGCGAGCAAGCATTTCTAATAAACTTTAACTTGATAAACAAGCGATGTCTTACAATAAGAGTAGTACATGTTGCTGACTGTTACAGGATCACAACTGAGCCAATGGTTCTTGAAATTCACTTTGATATACAAGTGCTTTGGATTACCAGCATGTTTCTGGAACAAATTACACTTGCAAACCAAAGTTTTACGGGGATTTACTTTTCTGTCTTCCTATTTGAATTTTTGTATTTCTGATTGGAAACACAGGGTTTAAACACGAAAGTTCATAAACATGTAATTCATCTGTCTTTGTGAGAAACACTAATGAACCCCAGTAGGACCTAGAAAATAATAAATTGTCAAAATATAAATATTTTTCTTTTTTTGAGGATGACACATCATTTTCATTGATTGTAAATGGTTTATCTATTTCTTAATGTTTACTATTTTTATTTTCATTATCAAAGGAAAATAGATATGACACACAAAAAATGCAATTCTATATGGTTTTAACAAATACTAGTCGATTTAGCTTTGGTTCAACAAATACTTACTGGAATTATGTATCTTGTACCCACCTAGGCATTGGAATTATAACTAAGAACGCTATCATCATAGTTAGCAAGGAAGATATAAATTAAAAAATGAATATGCATAGTACCATGGGGTAATAATAAGTACTTTAGTAAAGATGTGTATAAAGTTCAATGGAAACAGGGGAAAGAGCAAGACTTTATAAAGGAGAACACGTACGATGCAAAACCATAGACACTGTAGCATTGAATAAAGCAATATTCACTGTTAAGAACTCATCCAGTTCTGTGCATTGAAAGTATAAATACCATGATCTCTCTTCTCCAGAAGATTCTATGTTAGAAATCTAAATTATTAAAATGTGTTGATTTTCCATCCCTTTTTCCTTTTCTTTTTTCTTACTTTACCTGTTTGGATGATTGTACCCTAAGGATTAAAAATCCTCTCCGAGGGGCGCCTGGGTGGCGCAGTCAGTTAAGCGTCCAACTTCAGCCAGGTCACGATCTCGCGGTCTGTGAGTTCGAGCCCCGCGTCAGGCTCTGGGCTGATGGCTCAGAGCCTGGAGCCTGTTTCTGATTCTGTGTCTCCCTCTCTCTCTGCCCCTCCCCCGTTCATGCTCTGTCTCTCTCTATCCCAAAAATAAATAAACGTTGAAAAAAAAAATTAAAAAAAAAAAAAATCCTCTCCGAATTACCAAAACAGCAGGACACTCAACGACACAACTTCTTAAATATCTTTCAAAGGCAGGGGGAAATTCACTTAGAACCATAACTGTAATCCTGCAGATATCAACAACTACAAAAATTAAGGGCTTAATTTAAAAACCACAGTGCTTCATAATATCCTATATTTTTGACAAGTAGTGAAAGTTGTGAAATATGGCTCCAAGCCAGTCTTCTAATAATGTGCTCTAACATTCATAATATTTTCTAATAATATAAATTTATTCTCATTTATTAAGGAATTATAATTGCAAAGTATCTCTGCCTTTAAAATACTCTGTACTTCAGATTTTTTATGATGCTTGTTTGAATTTCCATTAAAAACTTCCACAGCTTTTGCTATTGAAATGAAGCTCTAAAGCATCTTTTCAATCAAAACAAATATAACAATATTAGTTTAAACTGAATTATTTGTATGGGCAGTACGGTACAGTATCAGGAAACAGAAGAAGCAATAATACGTGTAAAAATTTATTTACTTATGAACTTTCACAAATAAACTTTGAGAGGTCGGCCTGTTTACTGTCTGTCTTGACATTTGTCCAGCTCCATTTCTGTATTCCTTCTTCATTGCTGGTGTGCCTCCCACATACTTGTAATAACCTCATAAGACCATAAACCCTCTTAGTGAAAACCTCCGATGTTTGGGGTGTGGCGCAATCCTCTGAAGATTTCTATGCTCTAAATTATGCCTTTTTCTGCTCTCTTCATTCCAGTTACACCTTTAGTTGTCTCAGTAGAACTGAGAGCTTAGCCAAGTCTGAGAATTGGTGATTTTTAAGTCATATCAAAGTGTAACCCAGTCACCCTTCTGGAGGACTGTTTGAGTGTTAGAAAGAAGGTGCATGTTTTACCAGGTGATTTTATTACATTGAATTAGTGAGAGGCATTGCACAATAACATTAAAGAGAACAGGTTTTGGCTTTGCATTGACCTGGACATGACCCAGTTTTTTAACTTGAAGTTTATAACTTGAAACTGTTTAGTTCTGAATGTTAGGGTGGTTTTTTTCCCCCTATAAAAAGGCATATAGGGGATAGTTTATATGATGCAGAGTAATTAATTAAAAGGATAGAGAGAAGGAAAAAAATACTGAAATTAGTGCTGGTCTTTTATAAGAGTAATGTGCAAGATGGTGACAGGTTAGAGAATTGAATTAAAAAACTTGAGGCCACGTTGAAGTTTTTGAGAATGGTAGCTAACCCATAGGTAGAACACCCAACAGTGAAGGTGGACCTCTTGCTCACATAGCTCCTCCCAGCTGTTCTTGGCTTTCTTTCTGTGTGTTTACCCTTTGTCCTAGGCTGTGTTACTACTTCATGGGTCCAGTGGCTGAAAACTTAAAATTCTCATTTTTTATTCTATCTGGGAATCTTTTTTCAGCACTTATGAACGGTCGTTTTCTGCACTCTTCCTAATACACCACACTTGAATTCATATAGCACTTTTAATTATTGAGCAGTATTATGTACATTATCTCATTTTAGAGTCACACAGGTAGGAAAAGTAACATCATACATGTTTCATCTCTGCTCTGTAGGCGACAAAAGTGAATCTTAGATAAATTTTGCCCTTCCCGGGTTATTTCAACTTATCGGACTAGATTGGAGCAGCGCTGGCCCAGTGCTGCGTGCTTGCATTTATACCAGTTTTAAATAAAGTGTCTATAAATCTAAATCAGTTATTGTACCATAAGCGTATTACTATCATAGCATCTTAGTTTTTTTCTGGGGAGGGGGACTGCTAAGACAAATATTTTTTAAGATAATGCTAACAGCAATGAATATGTCTACATTAAATGAGAAAGTGAAGTCAGTGTATATCAGAGCTTATATTCCACTGCCTAAATGAACATAGTTTCTTGATTAGTTGTTACGTTCTCTATTTGTAAAACTTGTCATTTATAAGTCTATCGATTAAATTTGTCCTTTTTCTTTGGATTTACTCAAAAAGAGCCACTTAGTTTCTTATTGTGAATAGATTATACGTGAATAGATTATACAGATAGTATTTGCTAGAGTAATTTAAATTTTATTATACAGGTGAAGAGTCCAGCCAAAGATACATATTAAAAAAACTAAAAAATTCTTGACATATAGTAAAGAATCAAGGAGTTATTTAATAAATATATGGATGACTTAAAAAACATACTTTTGGTGACATCTCTTGAATATAGACATGAATCGTATTACTTGAAAATGCCTTATTAAAATAATTTATTTCATACATGTCTTAATTTTAATTTTATTTCTTTCTTTTTTTCACTTTTAAGGTTTCAGCAGAGCAGCTTTACCATTCGGGTTAGTTAGGCGAGAATTATCCTGTGAAGGTTATTCTATAGATCTGCGATGTCCAGGCAGCGATGTGATCATGATTGAGAGCGCTAACTATGGTCGGACAGATGACAAGATTTGTGATGCTGACCCATTTCAGATGGAGAATACAGATTGCTACCTCCCAGATGCCTTCAAAATTATGACTCAAAGGTAGATGCTTCTGTGTTATTATCCCGTTTTAGCTACTACATCCAAAGTAGATGAATAGAGTCCGTTCTCAGCCCATTTATTAAACTGAGTGAGGGTTTTACCTACTACTCTTGATTTCTACTTTTAAGCTTTCAACATTTAAATCTCTGTATCATTTTTATATAGCTTAACTTAACAGAAAGAATATGCAACATGCATCTTTTGATTTTTATATATCATAAGATACAGAGAAAAGAATATTTCAAATGTAATTTTGTTTTTTGGGCCTGTAGAGTTTTGAAATATTTTTTTAACAACAAGAATGTTTAACTGGGTCTTTGGCAATAGTTGGTCTTTAATTTTTTTTTAAGTTTATTTATTTATTGTGTGAGAGAGAAAGAGAGCGAGTATACACACCCGCAAGTCGGGGAGAGGCAGGGAGTGATGGAGAAAAAGAGAATTCCAACTCAGAGCGTAACTCGGGGCTCGATCTCACGAAACATGAGATCACGACCTGAGCAGAAATTAAGAGTGGGATGCTTAACTGACTGAGACACCCAGGTGCCCCAGATCTTTAATTTTTTAATTAATATTTTTTACAGCAAAAATGGGCAAAGAAAGTACAGAGAGTTACTATGTCCCATTGCTACACAGGCACAACCTCCCCAGTTATCAACATCTTGCATCACAGTGGTCCATTTGTTATAATAGATGAACCCACACTGACACCTCATTATCACCCAAAGTTTATACTTCACATTAGGGTTTATTCTTGGTGTGGTGTGTTCTATGGCTTTTGGCAAATTTATGATGGCACATGTCCACCATTGTGGTATCAGGCAAAGTGGTGTTGCCATTGTAATAGGTGTATAGTGATATCTCATAGTTTTGATTTACATTTCCCTAATGACATTTCATATTGAACATCTTTTACTATGTTTACATATTTTCTGTTTGTCTTTATTGGTGAGGTGTTGTTCAGGTGTTCTCATTTTCCAATTGGATTTTTTTTTTTTTTTTTTTTTTTTCTGAGAGAGAGGGTGCATGAGAGAGTGAGCAGGGGAGGGAAAGAGGGAGGAGAGAGAGAGAATCTTAAGCAGGTCCCAGGCCCAGCACAGAGACTGGTGTGGGGTTCATCTCACAACTGTGAGATCATGACCGGAACCAAAATCGAGAGTTGGACGCTTAACCAACTGAGCCACCCAGACACCCCGTCCATTTTCTTATTGTTGAGTTTTAAGAGTTGTTTATATATTTAGGTAACAATTCTTAATCAGATAGGGCTTTTGCAAATATTTACTGTCAGTCTGTGGTTTATCTTCTCATTCTCTTGATCCTTAGCTTTAAAAAACAAACAAAATACAGCAGATTCAAGTTAAGAAAGCATATACTGGGCTTTCTCTTTCTCTCTCTACCCCCCCCTTCATATATATATATATATATATATATATATATATATATATATATATCTCATTGGTTAATATTGTGTTTTAAAAATGATGTGTTTGAATTATAAAATTTAAAATATATATATGGTACCTCTTCACAGGATAATTGCCTGCCTATCTCTAGATAGAATACCAAAACACTGCTGACAATAGGTATTGCCTTTCCTCTGCCTTAACACACAGCACATAACTCCTGGTCTCTCTTTTTTTTTTTACCTCACTTTTGCTACACTTGGCATCTTAATCAAAATTCTCTTACATATAAAATATTAAAATTCTGGTTAGTTATGGCCAAACTAGTACAATAGTATCCAGCAGTTCTAGTTATTTGGAACATAGAGACTCTCTGAAGGAACATTTAAGTATCATAGAGTTTATGATACATTATTGCTTTTGTATTTTGTTTACTAGGAAAACCCTTCATCTTTCTATTCAAAGCTTTCACCCTCTTCTCCTGCCTCTTTCCCCACTCTGGACTCAATATTCTGTCTAGTTTTCTGGCTTATTTATTAGTCTACCTTAAAGTAGAATAGCAAATTTTCTAGACTGGGGTCTGGTCAGTGTAGGGAAAATGAAAATATCAAGGGGTGGTAAGAGATGATGAAGAAAAAAATGAAAAAACTATTTAACAAAAAATCCATGCCATAGTAAGATGGGTACAAATTGCTGTAAAATCTCTGATTTCACAGAGACTATGTATTAGCATATTTTTTTATTGATAGCACGTTATGAGTAGTTTTTCTTTAATGTTAATGCTGATCAAGATGCTTTTTAAGAAACCAGAGAACATATACAATACTTTTGATAGATTTCCATCAAAATATTTTTTATTTTTGGGGTGCCTGACTGGCTCAGTCAGTAGAGCATGGGACTCTTGATCTCAGGACTGTGACTTTGAGCTCCACATTGGGTATAGAGATTACTTAAAAAAATACATAAAATCTTTTTTTAAAAGTTTCTATTTTTAGTTCTTAAAGTGTTGTTATTAAAAACTTAAGACAAAATCTTATTTGCATAAATGGCATTTGAGAAAGGTTTTTTAAATTTAAAACAAATTTCATTATGGATTATGCAGTATTTTGAATCAAAACGTAACTTACCTTCTTTGGAAGAATGGATTCTGTACTCCCCTAAAATTGTAACACAACAGTTTACACATACTGTATCAAAAGTTGGGAACTGCTCATGCTAGAAAGACAATAAAGGCAGCCACTAATAATTGACTGTTTATCCATTCTTTATATTATTGAACTGTTTAATTTAATGATATTAGATGAACATCTAGAAGTAGGCCAGAGAGAAATGGGAAGTAAAGAATTATTACATAAAATGACCTGATTTTACAAAATTGACAGGCAAAAAAGCAGTGGAGTTGGTACAAAGAGAGGGTCTGAAAAAGCTGGCCTTAAGGAATTATACATTGTTGGTCACTTATCTTTGTGGATTTATACATTTAAATACATAATTCAGTATCCAACAAGATATATGTCTTATCACATTTATATCTATTAAATATAATTACCTATTGTAAGAAATGTAGAAGATAATATAGCAAGTTATTTTCATTGTTTCATGATGTTATAAAACCAGGACTGCATTTTTTATAATTCTTTTAAGTTTTTATTTACTTATTTTGATAGAGTGAGCAGAGGAGGGACAGAGAGAGAGGCAGGAGAGAGAGAATTCCAGTCTCCACACTGTCAGCATGGGGCTGATGGTGGGCTTGAACCCACGAACTGCAAGTTATAATAGAGCTGAAACCAAGAGTCAGACACTTAACTGACTGAGCCACCCAGGAGCCCCAATAATACTTTTATTTTTTTATTTTTTTTTTTTTTTATTTTTTCGCGTTTTATTTATTTTTGGGACAGAGAGAGACCAGAGCTAGAGCGGGAGAGAGGAGAGGGAGACAGAATCCGAAATACAGGCTCCAGGCTCTGAGCCATCAGCCCAGAGCCCTGGACGCTTGCAGGCTGAACTCCGGCCAGCGCATGAGTGACCCTGGCTGAGTCGGAGCGCTGAACACGGCTCTACCCAGGCGTTCATATTTTAAAAGCAACAGAGTTTTAGGGTTTAAGACAGTAAAGAAAGCAGCAGACTTATTCTCTGTAGCCTTGTTATCAAAATATCCAGTCTGTGATGTTTTAATGCAAATAAGGTGTTAATTCCAAAACTAGCTGTAGAAACCCCATTTTTAAATTGTATTATACTGGTAGCTTATAATTATTTAGTCAGCACAATGACAATTTAAACAGGACTTACACTTTTTAGGTAGCCTGGGTGGCCTGAGTGGGTTGGCCGTCGCTCAGCTCCAGGTCATGATCTCATGGCTCTGGAGTTCAAGCCCCACCTCGGGCTCTGTGCTGACAGCTCAGAGCCTGGAGCCTACTTCAGATTCTGTGTCTCCCCCTCTTTCTGTCCCTCCCCTGCTCTCTCTGTCTGTCTCTCTCTCTGCTCCTCCCCTGCTCTCTCTCTCAAAAATAAACATTAAAAATTTTTAAACAAGAACCGCTTAGTGACAATGAAGACAATATTAAGAGGACTTAAAATGAGTTTCCTAGTGGTAGCTTATAAGAGTTCCATTCTATGAGTGTCAGAATATAAACCTTTAAGGAAGTCTGCCATATTTGGTACATAGTTTAAAATAGCTGGAAGAAAATATGTAGATAATATTTTTGCAGCTGAATTATTAATGAATAATTATTGAATATCTTATTTTTTAAGTAAGTGTAGGGTTTGAACTCTTGGCCCCAAGAGCAGAGTCTCATGCTCCAGACAGGCAGCCCATTTTATTTAAGTATATCCCTGTTTTTTTTAATTGAAAAATAATTTTCAGTATTCACAAATGAAGTAAGATTTATTTTTACCATACTCCTAATAATTTGGCAAATTATCTATTTATAATTGTCAGAAAATGTGATATTCAATAATGTAGGAAAAGGCATTTTTTTGGCTTTAAGAAAAAAACTTCTCTTTTGAAAGCTCAAATAAAAGCACTTGATGTTTTCTATTGAATTTCTAAAACACTGTGATGGAGATAAACACAATTTTCAATACCATTAATATATGTTTGTCCCCTTTCCTTACTGTCATCACTTCAACAGTTAAGAATCAAGTAAATAAATACACTTGTAATTCTGACTGTGGTGGTGGTAAAGTATTAATAATTGTTACTGATTCTTCATTTTCTATTTCCTGTTCATTTAAAAGTGTGAAACCAAGGCTCTGTCAGACAGTGATAGTACACTTGTCTTATAAGTACACCAAATGGCTCACCCTAAAAAGTGAGAAAAGAACTTCTTCCCTAAAATGATTTTAATACTCTATAAAATAATCACCATTAGAGAGAGTATTTTTAGCACTCTTTGAAGATAATATAGTGAGGTTCCTTAAAAAAAATGTGCAAGGGGTGCCTCGGTGGCTCACTAGGTTAAGCATCTGACTCTTGATATTGGCTCAGATCATGATTTCGTTGTTCGTAGGTTTGAGCCTGCACTGGGCTTTGCACTGACAGTGTGGAGTCTGCTGGGGATTCTGTCTCTCTCCTCTCTTTCTGCCCCTACTCCCACCCAT